TATTGCTGAAGCCTGGCTTGGAGAATTTTGAGCATTACTTTACTAGCATGTGAGATGAGTGCAATTGTGTGGTAGTTTGAGCATTCTCTGGGATTGCTTTTCTTAGGGATTGGAATGAAAACTGACCTTTTCCACTCCTGTGGCCACTGCTGAGTTTTCCAAATTTGCTGGCATACTGAGTACAGCACTTTCACAGCATCATCTTTCAGGATGTGAAATATTACCTGAGGCTAATTTAATATTATAATCAACTATTCTTCAATAAAAATTTAAAAATTAAAAAGTTATGTGTGAATCATTTTCTTGTTAATAATTATAAGAAAAGAATGCATTGATTTTGCATAAGAAATTAGATCAGCTTTATCCTTTTGTGGAATATACATCTTTCAACTATAATATTCCTACAGTTTCCCTTAAGAATCTAATGAAAATGATAAACAAAAAAATAATCATTTACATATATATACAAATTTTTGCATGTAATATCTGGGTCTAACGATTAAGTTCATTTGGGATCTCCAGGTTAAGAATCCTTGCCTTATAATTAAGATGTGCAAGCATTTTAGAGTGAGGCAAATAACACGAGCTGTTTTTCATCATCACTGTGCTAATGAAATACACTGCACCAGACTCAGCCATAAACACAATTCGTCCATTCAGCTGTGTGGCTGCACGTGAGATTACAAATCAGCTCAGTAAATACTGATGGAGTGCCTGCTTTATGGCCCTGGGGGAGGCGACAGGCCCATTGCCATGTTCATACTGAACAGCCCACACGCCCCATTGCTGGCAGCCAGGTCACATGCCACCTGCAGTCACTTCGGCAAGAAACGGCCTCCTTCTCAAGACACCCCACCCCTCCCAGACCCACACCCTTGGCACCAGCTGCTGCTTTGTGCCTCGCCGCTAGATTAAGACCATCTGATACCAGAGTGCACAACAGTATCTTGCATCCGATTTAATAAAACACTTGGTGAAGGAATGCACTAATTCACCGACTTGTGAGGAGATCATGTGGAAAAACAGGCAAATGCTACTCTTTCCACAACTCAACCCAGCAACTCTTGACATCATGCTCCTGTGCTTTGTCTGTCTTGCAAAACGCACACACGCAACAGGCTCCTTGCTGACACAAATAAAACTTAAAACATACATTCGAGCAGAGTGACCAGAGAGGGGTGGTTGTTTTACCGAGCAGCGGCAAGCATCAGGAGCCCTCCTACACTGTGCCAACCCCACGCCAACTGGCCCAGCAGCACGGGGAACAAGAAGCCATCCTGAGCACCCCGCCTCCACCTCCCTCCACACCTCCTGGGGGGCCTTGGCCTCCACGTTCCACCCTGGGAGCCTCCAGTTCCCTGTGAGTCGGGATAACCCTGAGATACCCCCGTTAAAGCAGCACACCCATGGCTGCACGTGGCAGTTGTTCTGGTTTATGGCCCAGCCTATGTGGCACCCCCTCCACGCACCAGCCTCAGAGGCAGCACACCCTCCTTGAAGTCCTTAACCTCAGCGCCACCCAGAGCGCCCTGCAAACATGATGCAGGAAGAGAGTCCTCTGACCAAATTACTGTGAGCCTTGGCAGTGCAGCAGGCAGCATGTTGGGGGCCAAGGTGCAAGGACAGTGGGAAGGATGGTGTGCAGGTTGGTGCTGCCCAGGAAGGGACAGGATGCAACAGGCTCCAGCAGGCGGGCAGAAAGTGGACAGGCCGCGCCAAGCACTGCAGCTGAGACTACTAGCGCACAGGCGGGAAGGGAGGCAGATTTCTACTTGGTGGGCTTCTACAGC